TGGTATTAATAATTGTACTGGTATTGGTATTGGTATTGGTATTGATATTGATATTGGTATGCATTGGTATTAGTATATTAGTATATTAGTATTAGTATTAGTATTAGTATTAGTATTTGCATTAGCATTTGTATACTAATATTAGCATTAGCTAATTAATATTAGTAATAATATTAGACTATTAGTAGTAGCATTAGTATATTAGTATTAGCATTAGCATATTAGAATTAATATTAGTATGAATATTAGTATTAGGATTAGCATTATGATTAGAATTAGTATTAAGATCAGTATTATGATTAGAATAATAATTAGAATTAGGATTTGCATTACCATTAACATTAGCATAAAAAGATTGGTATTAAGTTAGAATTAGCATATTTGCATTTCTATAAGGATTAGAATTAGTATTAAGATTAAGACTAATATTGTCATTAAGATTACAATTTCGATTAGAACTATGATTGAGATTAGTATTAGAATTAAGATTAGAGTTAATACCAGGATTATGATTATCAATAACATTAGGATTACTAACACTAATAGTAATAGTATTATTATCATATTAGTATTAGTATTAGGATTAGTAATGGTAATGGTAATGATAATGATTGGTATTGCTATAGGCATTGGTATTGGTATTGATAATGATAATGGCAATGGTAATAGTATTGGTATTGGTGATGGTAACTGCAATAGTAATGGTCATGGTTATGGTAATGTAAATAGTATTGGTAATAGTAATGGTAATGGTAATGGTAATCGTAATCGGAACGGTAATGATATTGATATTGATACTGGTACTGGTACTGGTATTCATTACTTACACAATACGGAATATATTTTTTATTTTCTTTTACTTTTCTACTTTCTACTTTGTATTGCATATCATTGATCTTACTATATCAATAATTTTTTTAAAACCAAATATTTATTTTTACGATGAATACCCCGTGCAACGCACGGGTGAAGTACTAGTTATCAACTAAAACACATCATTAAAATCCATGGACTAAAGCACATAATTCATTAAATCACATAATTAGAATCAACTACTCAATTAATAATAATGCCTACTTCTAAAAATACTATAATGTATCTAAATCACATAAACACATAGAGAGCGTATAAATTGCTACTCGATTCATGAAATGCACGTATATTCGTATTTACTATATGTTCAATATAATCATATATAAATGCTTATGAACATGCGGACTGTTACAAGTACAATCCATTAATATTTATGAAAGAAGAATTTGAATCAAATTTCTCACGGAGTTGGTCATTTAGTAGGAAATCTCAGCGAACGTGATACGATCCATCCAATTACGCGAGCTAGTGCTGAGCTGGATGAAGGAGCTGATGACTTGGATGAGCTGCATGTGCCAAGAGGACCGATTACCCGAGCTCGGGCCAAGCGCATTGAAGCAGCCATGCTTAACTTAGTAGCACACGAGCTCCAAAAGGAAGAATTGACGAAGTCTAGTTCGATCCTAGCTGAGCTTAATTGGAGCGAATTATCGGGCCAGATTGTGAAGCAAGCCGAGCTCAAGGACTTGAGCCCGTCTAGTCATCCAGCCGAAGAAGACGTGACTTGGAAAAGATGATTATTATTAATTTTCGTATTTTATTATTGGACAATTTATTTCTAGTTATTTAGAGTCCGATTTGGACTAGATTTAGTTTATTTCATTATTTCCTTATAATAGATAAGTTAGGATTTATTTTCCTTGTTAGTTTAGGTCTCTTTGACACTTATAAATAGGTTGTGTTAGGTCATTTTTATTTTGGACGTTTTTTAAGTATTATTTTGAGAGATTAAAATTCTCCTTCGTTGTTCTTCAACAACTCTTCGGGATATTTTGCGAGTGGATTCTTGTGAATTATTCTTAGCACTATAGTATTGGTTTCTGATTCATTATAATCACGGGGTCAATACTTCCACCTTGATAATATTGGTTTCTAGCTCTCTATAGCTACGGGGTCAATATTCCGAATTCCGCCAATCGAATCCTTTATTTTTTGGACATTCCGTTCTTGCTTCCGCATAAGATTATTGGGTCCCGTAACAAGTTCTACGGGATTCGTATCAGTTGGTAACCAGAGCCAATTTCCAAGAAAAGGTTTCACCTATCCTTTTTTTTTTCGTGTCTTTGTTTTGTTTTCGTTCTTCGATTATTCGTGTTTTCTCTATCTCATCTTTTCTTGAATTGTGTTGTCTAGAGTCTTCGTAAAAAAAAAAAAAAAGAATTCGAATTTTGCTTTTCTTTAAAGTTACTTGCAGCCCACGTTAGGGTTTGTTAGTAAAAAAAAAAAAAAAAAAATATCCGAAAAATCTTAGAAAAACCGGATACAGCAAAAAAAAACAAAAAAAAAAACAAAAAAAAAAGAAGAAAAAGAAGCAAAATTTGAAATCCAACCAAGGAAAATTCTTTGTAAGGAGTTTTAATAGATTTGGGCAACACTAATAGAGTTTTAATAGACTTGGACAACTTCTTGAATTTCTTGTTTCCTTGTCTACCTTTCTCCTAATTCAATCCCACGTTGTTTATTTGTTTCCTATTCCTTTTGTTTCCTTTTACCACTAAATTCGAAATTCCTTTTATTTGCCTCCACATAATTTCTGAATTGATAAAATACTATTTTGCTTTGAATAAAAAAACGAAAATTCACTTAAAATTTTCTTGATTAGTTTCTTTAGAACTTCGAAGGGAGTTTACGAGTGGAAAAAGGCAAGAGAGTGTGAGATCAAAAGAGGGTAAAAGCCTAATTGTGTGAAACACGAGTGAATTGAGTGAACATCATATTGAGTGATACACGTGAGGGAGTGGTGAGGAAAATCTTTTTTGTTTTTTCTTTAACAATATTTTGCAGTTCAAACATCATGTCAAGGAATGGGAGTGGTGATGAAAAGGGAGAAACCACGGAGCAGCACTTCCAACGTCTGCATATAACCCTTCAAAGGATGCAAAATCAAATCGATGAGTTTAGTAGGGTAAGACCTGCACCGGCGCCACAACTGCGGCCACCTATTCGTCAACCTGTTGTACGCCAACGTGACGAATTGGAGTTCGATGAACAATTCTTCGATGAGGAGTCTGAGGCAGAGTCTAATACTTCTAGACGATGGCATAGAGGACGAGGGAACAGAGGTGGCAGATTTGACATACCAAGGCGAGGTAATGTGGGACGAGAAAGAGATGAAGTTGATCGAAACCTCAGCTCTATCAAATTGAGTATACCGTCTTTCCAAGTGAAGAGTGATCCCGAGGCATACATAGAATGGGAAAGAAAGGTTGAGCTCGTTTTCGATTGCCACAATTATTCCGAGGAAAAGAAGGTGAAGCTTGCAGCTGTAGCGTTCACCGATTATGCTATCATTTGGTGGGATCAATTGGTAGTGACTAGACGTAGAACCGGCGAACCACCAATTGTCGATTGGGAGTCTATGAAGGCACTTATGAGACGGAGGTTCGTGCCCTCACATTATTATAGAGACTTACATCTGAAATTGCAAAGCTTGAAGCAAGGTACTAAATCAGTCGAGGAGTACCATAAGGAGATGGAGATTGCAATGATTTGAGCCAATGTTGAGGAGGATCGAGAGGCCACGATGGCAAGATTTATTTGCGGGCTGAACCGCGAGATCGCTAATGTAGTGGAGTTGCAGCACTACGTTGAGATTGAGGAGGTCGTTCATATGGCCATGAAAGTTGAGAGGCAGCTTAAGCGAGGAGGGAGAACTACAGCTCGAGCCGAGGTAGCAAGCTGGAAACCGCGATGGAATCCTACTTCGAAACCCGAGGAGAAATCGACAACAACACATTCCAATGAAAATCCAATCAACCGAGCACCACTTGAGAGAGGTAGTAATTCGTCACAACCACAACGTACACGTGATATTAAATGCTATAGATGTCATGGAGCAGGTCATATTGCCATGGACTGCCCTAACCGGCGAGCTATGATTTTATTGGATAATGGCGAGCTGGAGTCCGAGGAAGAGGAAGAGTCAGCTTCAAAAACAGCACCTATTGAAGGTGACGTGATACAAGCTGTTGATGGACTCGCACTTGTTGTACTTCGAACTCTTCACGTGCAAGCTGAAGAAGATGGTGATGTAATACAGCGAGAGAACATCTTCTATACACACTGCCATGTTCAAAACCGAGTATGTGGATTGATAATTGATGGAGGAAGTTGCGTGAATGTAGCGAGCAAGCTAATGGTAGACAAGCTAGGGTTGCAAGTCACCAAACATCCGAGACCTTACAAACTTCAGTGGCTGAATGAAAGTGGCGAGTTGAGAGTGACGAAACAAGTACTGATTTCCTTTAGTATTGGACAATACAAAGATGAGGTGATGTGCGATGTTGTGCCCATGCAAGCAAGTCATATCTTACTTGGGCGACCTTGGCAATTTGATCGACAAACAGTCCATGATGGTTACAAAAATCGCTACACTTTTACTAAGGATGGCAGGCGAATCACACTTGCACCTTTACCACCTTGTCAGGTGTTTGAGTAGCAAAATCATATTAAGAAGTCCATTGCTGCAAGTTCAAAACAAAATGAGAATGAACGTGTTAGTAGTAGTGGAGAGGTAAAACAAGAGAGTTTAGCCGAAGTGAGAAAAGAAAAAGAAGAGAGTGCAGACTTAATAAAGAGAGATGAGAGAAAAGTGAGCTTTTATGCAAAAGAAAGAGAGATTAAGAGTGCATGTAAGGGTGAAAGAACAATGATGTTGTTAGTGTTTAGAGAGTCCTATTTTTCTAATGCTAACCTTAATTCTTCTTTGCCTAGTATTGTTATTTCTCTTTTGCAGGAGTTTGATGATGTCTTTCCGGACGAGATGCCAACGGGGTTGCCACCAATTCGAGAGATCGAGCACCAAATTGATTTTATTCAAGGGTCCCAAATTCCAAATAGACCAGCTTACCGAAGTAGTCCCGATGAGACGAAGGAGTTACAACGGCAAGTGGACGACCTGTTAGCTAAAGGACATGTTCGAGAAAGCATGAGTCCTTGTGCAGTGCCGGTTTTACTAGTACCAAAGAAGGATGGGAGTTGGAGAATGTGTGTTGATTGTCGAGCCATCAACAAAATTACGGTAAAGTATGGACACCCCATTCCTCGATTAGATGACATGTTAGATGAACTACATGGTTCCATTATCTTCTCAAAAATTGATTTGAAAAGTGGTTATCACCAAATTCGCATGAAAGAGGGAGATGAGTGGAAAACTGCATTTAAAACTAAGCATGGATTGTATGAATGGTTAGTGATGCCTTTTGGTTTAACTAATGCACCAAGTACGTTTATGCGACTTATGAATCATGTTCTGCGATCTTACATAGGAAAGTTTGTTGTTGTTTACTTTGATGATATCTTAGTATATAGCAATAATTTGCATGGTCATGTTGAGCATTTGAGGTGTGTCTTGGAGTCCTTACGGCGAGAACAATTATACGCTAATTTAAAGAAATGTGATTTCTGCCTAGATAGGATAGTTTTCCTTGGTTTTGTTGTGAGTTCTAGGGGCATTGAAGTGGACAAGGAAAAGGTTAAGGCAATTCGTGAATGGCCAACACCCAAGAACGCATCCGAGCTGCGAAGCTTCCATGGCCTAGCGGGATTCTATAGGAGATTTGTACCGAACTTCAGCACAATTGCAGCACCTTTGACCGAGGTGATCAAGAAGGAGGTTGGCTTCAAGTGGGGCGAGGCGCAAGAGAATGCATTTCACACTTTGAAAGATAAGCTAAGTTCCGCTCCTTTATTACTTTTACTAGACTTTTCTAAAACTTTTGAAATCGAATGTGATGCTTCTGGAATTGGTATTGGTGCAGTTCTTATGCAAGACAAGCGACCTATCGCTTATTTCAGCGAGAAGCTCAATGGCGCAGCCTAGAAATACTCGACCTATGACAAAGAGCTCTACGCGTTGGTGCGAGCTTTGGAGACTTGGCAACATTACTTGTGGTCTAAGGAATTCGTTATACACACAGATCACGAATCGCTAAAGCATCTTAAGGGCCAAGGCAAGCTGAACCGAAGACATGCTCGGTGGGTGGAGTTTATCGAGATGTTTCCTTTTGTGATACAGTACAAACAAGGTAAAGATAATGTCGTAGCTGATGCACTATCTCGCAGGTATGTTCTCGTGTCAACCCTTAGTTCTAAATTCTTAGGTTTTGAGCATGTTAAGGAGTTGTATGTGAACGATCATGATTTTGCTACTATATTTGCTGCATGTCAAAAAGGAACTTTTGAAAAATTCTACAAGCATGATGATTATTTGTTTAGGGAAAACAAACTTTGCATGCCTAATTGTTCGCTTCGTGAATTACTTGTGCGAGAATCACATGGAGGTGGTTTAATGGGACATTTTGGTGTTTCTAAAACATTAGATATTTTAAAATAACATTTCTTTTGGCCGCGTATGAAGCAAGATGTTGAGAGGATTTGTTCGAAGTGTCTAACATGTAGGCGAGCTAAATATAGGGTTAAACCACATGGATTATATATGCCATTACCTGTTCCTACTCACCCTTGGACCGATGTATCAATGGATTTTGTTTTAGGGTTGCCGAGGTCTAGTAAAGGT